CATATGTATCTTTACATCTCAAGCCATCCTCTTCCTCTTGGGAACGCTGCATTGCTTTTAGGATTTCAAAAAATACATAAATCTGTTTAAGTGGAAAAAAGTCAGACTTAAATCTCAGAATTACTGAAGCTGAAGCGAGGAAGCTCAAAAAAAAAAAATCATTAATGATGTTGGTAATCTTTCGCGCTCGATAAAAGTATTCTAACGTTCAGACAATTCAATCTGCTTTTCTCTCCGTATCGTACTTTGTTTTATATTTTATTAAAGTGAATATCTTTGGACATTTGAAGACATCACACACACACACACACACGCACACACACACACACACACACACACACACACACACACACACACACACGTTACAGGGTGGTTTAGGCTAGGTTGCAGCTCCACCCTGTGGACGTATTGTGCCTGTGTTATATATATATCTGCCTCACGTGAATATACCTCAGTTGTATGATTGCCTGCTCAATGTGAATACACGGCGTTGAGACACAGCCTGACTTGCCTTGTGTATTAATGCACATACATCTACTAACATGGTGTCAGAAGCTCAAATAGGACCCAGCTGTGGATTGCATGCTACTGTCCATGTTTTGGTGAGGTTTAGCAGTTTCAGTTAGCCTGTTAGCATTAGCGTCACGTTGGAACAATGGCATCCAGCATCCCACCTCCGGAGCCTATGAAGATGGCGGGGGACATCCATGGCAACTGGGTGAGCTTTCGAGCAGAATTTGAGGATTATCTGCTTGCGACCGGGCTCAGCGAGAAAGTAAAGCCGGTACAAGCAGCTGCGCTCAGGAGGCTAATGGGGAACGACTGCCGACATGTTTCCAAACACAACCTGGGACTCACCGGACCAACAAAAATATGTGGGTGCTATACTGGTGGCACTGGAGCAATACTTCACACCCGCAAAGAACGTAATCTTTGAGAGGTATGTTTTTGGCAACCTTAAACAAGAGGATGGAGAGCTCTTGGATGCGTTTGCTACCAGGCTGAGGGAAAAGGCTGCCTCTTGTGAATATGGAGCTATAAAAGATGAACTCATAAGGGACAGGCTTGTTCTCGGGATAACTGACGAGGACGTCACTTACTAAGGGAAAAGAACCTTAAATTGGACGAGGCCATTAAAATGTGCCGTGCAGCCGAGGTCAAGGACAGCAAGTTAAAAACCATGTCACTGGGCAGCTCTGGACCTGGGGACAGCATTAATGCCACACAAGGACAGCGATATGGACGGAGGTCTGCCAGCAGGCCATCCGAGTCCACCAACACATCTGCACAACCACAGAGCATGAGAGACGCTGGCGAATGCAAGTACTGTGGCACACGGCACAAGCGTGGGCGGGACCTGTTCCCTGCTTTTGGTAAATTGTGCCGCTCGTGTGGTACTGCTAACCATTTTGCAAAAGTATGCATGAAAACAGGCCAGCAGGCACGCCAGTTGAATGCTGTGGATGACCCGTTGCCAGGGGAACTGGAGGACAGCGATGAGAGAGACGTGTACACAATGGAGAGCGTGGGGGCTGTGAACACTCGAGGTAAAAAGTGGTTTGTCAACATGCCACTGCAAAGTGGGGTTCAGAGGTGCCAGCTCGACTCTGGAGCCACTTGCAATGTGATGAGCATCAAGGACAAGACGAGACTGGTGCCTAGAACGCCTCTTCTGAAGAGTCTCACCAGATTAAAACTATACAACAGTGAGTGGATGAGCTCATTAGGTGTGTACAGCACACAATGCGTCATTAGGGGTAAGACGCACAGACTGGACTTTGATATTGTGCATACTGGCCAGAGGCCAGGGCCTCAAGGCTGACCCTGAAAAAGTCAGGGCGGTTCTGGACATGCCAAACCCCACAGACGCAAAAGGGGTCCAGCGGTGTGTCGGATTTGTGAACTATCTGTCCAGATTCATGCCACGCTTGTCAGCGGTATGTGAGCCGCTGAGGAGACTGCTGGACAAGGATGTGATGTGGCACTGGCTGCCCAAACATGATGCCGCCATGAAGGAAATCAAGGCACTGGTCACGGCGGTGCCAGTCCTAAGGTACTATGACGTCCGCAAGCCAGTCACCGTACAGAGCGACTCCAGTCAGGCGGGTCTGGGCTGCTGCTTGCTTCAAGGGGGACAGCTTGTCGCATTCGCCTCACGGGCATTGACCCAAACAGAGCAAAATTACGCACAGATTGAAAAGGAGTGCCTGAGCATCGTATTCGCCTGCCAACGCTTCCACTACTACCTATATGGTAGGGGTGATGTGACTGCAGAGACCGCCCACCGCCCGCTGGTGTCCATCTTCACCAAGCCCCTCCTCAGTGCACCAAAGCGCCTTCAGAGCATGCTCCTCACACTTCAGAACTACTGCCTTGCGGTGGTATACAAGCCAGGCCCTGAGATGTACATAAGTGACACGCTCAGCAGAGCCACCACCCCGCCACAGAGAACAGACACACTGTACCATGTGAAATGGTCTGCAGCAGGAGCAGGGTGACACGGCGGCCATTCAGCAGGCAGACTATTTAAATGTCAGCAGCCAACGCCTGGCACAGATTCGGACACACACTGAGGAGGATGTGTGTCTTCAAACACTTAAGTCTGTCGTCCTGGAGGGATGGCCAGGACACAAAGAGGAGACCCCTGTAGCCGTCAGGGACTACTGGGCCATCAGAGATGAGATAAGTGCACAGGATGGCGTGCTCTTCAGGAGTCAGCGCGTCATCATTCCAAAAGCTATGCGCCCGGAAATGCTGAGATGGATCCACTACAACCACGTGGGGGGCGAGGCGTGCTACAGGCAGGCCCGTGATACACTTTACTGGCCGGGATGCAAGGGGAAGTCAAGGATTATGTGCAAAAGTGCTCTCTGTGCAATGAGTATGCACACGAACAGCAGAAAGAGACTATGATGTCACGTCCCTGGCAGCTAGTAAGCATGGATCTGTACAGCTACGCAGCACAGAACTTCTTGCTCGTGGTGGACCATTATTCTGACTTTTGGGAGATCGACCTGCTCCCTGACCTATCAGCGGACACCACGATCCGTAGATGCAAGGCACAGTTTGCATGCTACGGTGTACCAGACAGGGCCATTTCTGATGGTGGAGGCCAGCTTGCCGGTGGAGAGTTCCGGGCGTTTGAAGAGAGTGGGGTTTTGAGCATGTCATGTCTTCACCGAGGCACCCAAAGGCTAACGGCAAAGCGGAGTCAGCAGTGAAAATGGTAAAGAGCCTGTGCAGAAGGGCAGACCGTGCCAAAGAGGACCCCTGGAGGGCCATATTGCATTGGAGAAATTCGCCCACTGAGGGTATGCATTGCAGCCCAGCACAGCGGCGTATGTCGCGGAGACTGAGAACCCTTCTCCCTGTGGCCGACCAGCTGCTGGTGCCTCAGGTCGTCATGGGTGTTCCTGACAAGCTGAAAATGAAACATCAAGCAGCAAAGCTGACATATGACAGATCTGCCAAGGACCTGCCGGAGCTGAACGTCGGCCAGCCCATACGGATGAAGCCACTCCCAGGAGACAGGACGGGCCGATGGAGGAGAGGTGTGTGCCTTCAGCAGTTGGGACTCCGGTCCTATCTGGTCGGTGTGGAGGGGACCACGTATCGGCGCAACAGGGTTGATCTTCGACCCTTCTCCAGCCGTCAGTTCTCCCAGAATCGGCCCCGGAGCAGCCTGCGAGTGGGGGGAGCGCCAGAGAGTTCGTCGGCATCCCCGAGGAGTCTCCAAGGCCATTACCCCCGGGGTCGTCGCGGTCTTCCCTGCAGACTGGGGATACACCATGCCTTGAGTTACAGGGCCGGGCCTTCTCCCGGAGCGGACGGCTGATTAGACCTCCTGACAGACTTGACCTCTAGGTCACACACACACACACACACACACACACACACACACACACACACACACACACACACACACACACACACACACACACACACACACACACACACACACACACACACACACACACACACACACACACACACAACACACACACACACACACACACACACACACACACACACACACACACACACACACACACTTGGACTGTGCGCACTCAAACACACATGGACGATAAAGATTAAAAAAAAAAAAAAAGGAAGTGGAGAGATTGGAAAATCAATGTGATGGATTGTTCTGAGTTTATTGCTGATGTGTTCGGATCCGGCTATTTCAAGTGTCTCTGCTATGTGCACTATTTGTTGTTGAAATAATTTTATTAATGTTCTGATTGAAAGTCAATAGTGTAATGGCAGTATTGATCCTGTGGTGTTACTTAACAAAAGGAAGGTAGATGTTACAGGGTGGTTTAGGCTAGGTTGCAGCTCCACCCTGTGGACGTATTGTGCCTGTGTTATATATATATCTGCCTCACGTGAATATGCCTCAGTTGTATGATTGCCTGCTCAATGTGAATACACGGCGTTGAGACACAGCCTGACTTGCCTTGTTTATTAATGCACATACATCTACAAACCACACACACACACACACACACACACACACACACACACACACACACACACACACACACACACACACACACACACACACACACACACACACACACACACACACACACACACACACACACACACACACACACACACACACACACACGTTCAGATAGGATTATGTCACCAGCAGAACATTTAATAAAACATGAACTAAAAGCTGATTTTAAGATAATTCTCTGTCCGGATCAAACGTCCTCATTCTCTCTCCTCGTTGCTGTTTCAGTAGAAAATAAAAAACCCAGTGAAAACTTTTCACCACCTCTCTCTCTGTAGCACACGTGGCAATAAAAGCCTTGAACCAGAACCTTGATATTTGTCTGTTCCTCCTGAGTGGAAAACTATTGCAGCACTTTCAAACTCCGCCCCCAAACACACACCCCCCATTCTCTCCGCAGGTGAGGGCGGGAATAACCGTCAGTGTTCAGTAAAAAGCAAAGATAACGACAGGCAGAACCAGGACTGAGGAGGTCGAGATCAGCCGGCTTTCTGTGGACCTGAAGAGAGCTCAGCAGGTGAGAATCAGTTTTTGATGTGTAGAAGTTCCTCTCTACTATAATGTACAGTAGAGTTGGTGTGGTCGGCTCGCATGAAAAAAGGGCGAGTTGGAGAGGAGCAAAAGACACGGCAGCCCTCATCACCGGCGCCATCTTTTTATCTTAAGCTTTAGCAGAATGATTTTAGAAAGATTTCCATGTCCTGCTGTTTCTCAGATTGTAATCTGAGTTCACGTCATCAGTGAAGAATGCAGGCTGAACCGGGCTGACATCGGGGGCAGGAAGACAACATGTAAACTATCCTGTGTCTCTGCTTAGCTTCAGTCGTCACTTATTAACATAAAGATAAATGTAAAGATGAAGAGACAGATGTTTTTTCAGGCTGTAATAACCAACATTAGAAACATGTGGGTGTTAATGCACTTCCATGTTTCAGATGTATTTTTAAAGTCTGGGATTATACATTTGAGCATCGATGGAACTACTATAACGATAACTAAGAATAACAATACTTGGTATTATGTTGATGATAATATATTCATGTTGGTGGGCTGTACAGCACATTAGCAGGACAAGTAATTCAGAGAATATATTACATTTTAAGGTTTATACAAAATCAGCCTCAACAAATATGTTCGTATACATCCAAACTGCATTCTCAATTCAAATGTTTGTGGATGATGTTTGATTCTTTCAGTGCTGGCTGGGTCCGAGCACAGTTGGCTCTGTCTGCCGTTCTTGCATTATTGTTTTCCTGCAGTTAAAGCCAGTTTTTGAGGCACTTCTCATCATGCTCAGAGAGTTGTACAAAATTGCACAGACGTCAGGAATGTTAAAAGTTCGGAGGTCCCGTAGTGAATGCATTTAAGTTAAAGTTAAAAGTTTAAAAAAGTTAAAGGTGGGGTAGGTAAGTTTGAGAAACCGGCTCGAGATACACTTTTTGTTATATTCCATGGAATGCTCTTAACATCCCGATAGCAATGAATATTGTTGTACTTTTTACAGCTTCCACAGATGAATTTTTTGTATGGATTTATTGTCAAAGCACTTCAGATATTCATTGCTATCGGGATGTTAAGAGTGTAACTATCAACTATCTAAAATAGTTGTGTTAATTAAACGCACAAGGGGTTCTTGAATGAAATAATATTATAAAGGTAAACAGAAATAATAAACGGATAATCTGCTCCTTAAACAAAATAAACAGAGACAGATTTCATGCATGGATCCATTATATTGACAGTTTTCCAGACAAACAACACAAACAAAATGAAACAGTCCGCTCTGCGATAAACAACAAGTGTCTTTACTGCCTAATCCAGGCTATTGTTCCTTGACAACAAAGGCTGTTGCTCCTGCGCCCGTCGGCGGCAAAAACAGAAATGTTTGTAGGCCTTTTCAGGCTATATTCCACACAAAGGAAACACGAGGTCCAGCGTGGCACAAAGGAGCGATCTCACCCTATGTCAGAGAGAATCTCTCTCTCTCTGTGCGCGTCCTCTCCAAGGAGACGTGCTTCCAGGTCGGTCGATGCAATATCCACATACGGTTACTTTCAGTTACTTCCCCGTTGCATTTTAACATATATACATGCTGAGAAAACGTAACTATCCCGCTGAATACCCGCATTCACCACACAGGCTTCCTCCTCCCGTGAGAACCCCCCATGGCATCCTGTTGACGCGCCCACTAAAAAGCCTCTGGGCGCGTCGCGACAGGTGAATATGCAAATGGCGCTTGCAGAACCACACCCTCAAACCTTACATAAAAGTGGACATTTAACGACTGTAGTTGCGAGGATAATACACATGCATCATAGGTTTTCATTTCATTTGAATCTAAACTACATGCCTTAACGTTTTCACCTGCCCCTACAGTTTATAAGAAACACTGAGATCAATCTGCGACTGTCACAGATCCCCCCCCCCCCCCCCACCGGAGGTATGAGGGGCTGCACCCCGAAGTAGGGCTTTAGGTTGACCACATTGATAGTGTCTATTTTCTTGTTTTGGCCGTTCCACTTTATCTGGTAATTGATAGGGCCTAATTTTCTCACCACTGTAGCTGGACCCGACCATTTAGGCACAAGCTTTGCTGAGAAGTTCTCTGATGCTTTAGAGAGTGGGTGAGTGCGGACCCAGACCAGGTCTCCCAGCAGGAGTTGTGCACCTCTCCTGTGGGTATTATAATACTTGGCTTGTCTGGCTTGGCATACTCCAACTCTCTTTTTTACTTGTTCCACCATCTTTTGTTGTCTTTCCAGTAGTGTATAAATGTAGGTTGATGAGGTGGAGGTGGAGGGCTGATCAACCTCTCCAGTGGGCCTTTCAGGGATCTTCCGAGTGCCAGGACTGCAGGTGTTTGCCCCGTTGTCTCATGATAGGCAGCATTGACGGCAAAACGAAATTCCCTGATCCACTGATCCCAGTTCTTATGTTGTGTCCCCACATAAGAAGCAATCATCGTTTTGATGGTCCGGTTGGACCGTTCCGTGAGATTGGCTTGAGGATGATAGCTGGTGGTGAACTTTTGTGTGACTCCCCAGGATTTGCATAGGTTGGCCATTTCATGGCCAGTGAACTGCGCTCCCCGATCAGAAACCAACTCAGTGGGACACCGAAACGGGTGAAGATCTCATCTTTCAAGACGGCGACAATTTTGTGAGTTTTGCTGTCTTTTAGGGGAAACATCTCAACCCACTTTGTGAAATAATCCACAACCACGAGGAGAAAGCAATTGCCTTTTTTACTGTGGGGAAAAGGTCCCATAAGATCAATCCTAGGGCTGGGCGATTTTTTCGGTTTTCACGATTAATTTGCATTTTTACTTTCCTACGGTTTGTGAAATGGCTGAACCGAAAAATCGCGATTTAAAAACATTTCTAGACTCCGCAGATTTGTTTTTGCTTTAAGGGACTCCGTAGTAGCTTACTCTCTCACTTTCCAGAACGCGCCCAAAACTCAGCCACATTGCCTGTGACTACCCGATCTGCAGCTCTGCCCGATCTGCTGTTGTTATGCTGTGTTCGTTATTCTCGCGTCCAGGAGAGAAGCTTTAAAAGGAGACTAAATGGAGTCTCTGAGAAGGTTCAAATGGTGCTTTAATTAAAAAAGCTCTCGTGAGCGAAGGGAAGAGAGCGAGCTCCACCTCTCCAGCTGATATATCTCCTCCGCTGGCTCGCTGTGGGCCGGTTGGCGCTGCTGGGGGCCGGCCCTCCACGTCTCCAATGTTCGTTGTTGAGCATAACAGAGGACTCCGACATTGTACATTAAATATATAACTAAACACGCCTGTTCTCCTCCTTATCTCTTTCATGACTTTTCATTTAATACATTTTAAACGCTGTAATCAATACTCCAAAAATACAGGAAATACTTCACGGCTGGTTTCATTTACGGTAGTTCCGGATGTTGTCTCATACTACCCACGTCTGTAAACAAACGTATTCAAATAAACTGTACCTTCATTTAATATTCAGCAATAATAATATCTCGACGTCTATAGTTGTAGTGTTGAAATCAGTAGGTTTCGGTGTGCAACACTCAGTGTCATATCGCTACTAAATTCACCTCTATAGTAAATGGTATATTAGCCACATGCTAAATGCTAACCGTCCGGAGATGAAGGATTTTCAGAATAAAACTGGTTGTGCACAAGAACTTCTAGTTTTTCAGTATAAAACAGCATTTAAACTGACGGTATGCGTAACATTTATGATATTAAAACACATTTTACACCTCACCGTGTTTTATTCTTATAGAAGTAAGAAGAGAAGTAATGGGGCAGAAACCCTCCTTTTTACGCATTTTTTGCAAAGAAAATATGTATTTACATTTTGCCTTGGTCTGGTTTGTTTAGAAAAAAACAGAAAAAAATCGAGGTTTAAATTGAAAATTGTCCATTAGTTAGAAAAAATCGCGATTTTATTTTTAGGCCAAATCGCCCAGCCCTAATCAATCCCCAGCTTTTCCCAGGGCTCCTCCACCGGGGTAGGCTGCATGAACCCCGCTGGTTTTTGATTATCCGCTTTGTAGGCCTGGCAGGTGTTGCAACACTTTACATGGGCCCACACATCCTTCCTAACAGACTGCCACCAAGCCACCTCAAGGATCTTAAGAAGAATCTTAAGTCTGCCCAGATGTCCACTCAGGGGATGGTTGTGGAAGCACTCCAGAAAAGATGTTACTAGACTCTTGGGAACCACTAGCTGATATTTGTCTCCCCCTACTCTCACAGGCGACCGCCGATACAGAATACCCTGTAACACAGTGTACCCTATCCTATCTGGCTTACAAATGGCAGCAGACTGTTTTGCCATGTCACTGATTTCAGGGTCCCTTTCCTGGGCCTCTCGTATGTCTGATAGGGTGGTTAGTAAGTCAGAAGCACAGTGAGAGGTGTTTGAGGCAACATACGCAGTTGCGGATGGATGTTTGTTTGTTTGTAGCCTTTCTTTAACCAGTTGAAAGCCCCTTGAGATCAAAAGATCTCTTCTTCAAGGTGACCTGCAGGACATTAGTTACACATGTAACATAAAAACAACAGACCAACAATAATGATGACAAACAACATAATGTACAGTTTACAAACTCTATTCACAGAGACAGGTACCATGAGTATCACACAGCATGTCACCCAGCTGAGTTTCAAAGTGATGCAGGGGAACCAAAGTGCTCAGTTTGAAACATGTTTGCAGACTGTTCCAAGTTAGTGGAGCTGCACAACTAAAAGCTTTCTTCCCTAAGACAGTCCTAGCACTTGGTACATTTAATAAAACAACATCATGAGATCTCAGGCAATAATGTACTTTCAATTCGTCGAGAGATCAGAGAGCAGATATAAAAAGGTAGTTTACCCAACCTGGCTTTATAGATGAACGTGTGCCAATGACTGAGCCTCCGTACAGTTAGTGAAGGCAGACCTGCCTCGGCATACAGGGTACAGTGATGAGTCAGTGCTTTACAGTTAGTAACAAATCTCAGAACGCTGTGATAGGCGGCATCTAACTTTTCCAGGCA